GACGTACGGTATGGGGAATATTTTATTCATTGAATGATCAACCTAATTTGCCAACTAACACAATTAATATCATTATTGTTTTTACACTTATTACTCTTTAAACAATGCTAAATGCTCGAAATATGTATATTTCATCCAATAATTTATCGCAGTTAGTTGAATTAACGTAAGCCTTGAAAGTAACCGTCGATTTCGACGGGTTTCACCCAGTACTAGCTGTGTGCCCTTTCGACCACTTCTACGCACGGGATCTTATAGTAGTCAGTTGAAACCTTCTTATATAAAGAACAGCAGTTGGTTTGCATATTTTCAGATATGCTGGCAAAACTATTATATATAAACCTTCCCAAATACAGTATCTGACAGTTTAAAGCCAAAAAAATGCTTTATAGATCTATGACCCAGACAGCACACTTTCTTCTCAGGACATCCCACGGATATTGCGACAGGATATGCAAGATATCCCATAGTGGTCCTATGGTCAACTTGGGATATCACAGGATATCCACAGGAATGCCTAATGTCCCCGCCCGGGGATGTCCTACGGATAAGCTCACACGCATATCCGTGGGACATCCGAGGTCATCCCAGGGTAGTCCTCAGGACATTCTCAGGACATATGGCACTACTATGGGATGTCCCTGGGATAAAGTGTGGTCTGGGCCTGAACATAAAAAACACAAAATAATATAGATTTAGTATGAAAAGCTTAATTATAAGTTTAGTAAATTGATTAAATAGTTAATAAACACAAATTTTGAAGAAAAAAACGAGAAAAAAGTTTTTGGCCCAGACGGGTTTCGAACCTGGTACCTTCGCCTTGTGAGCCTCTTACCTTACCTCCTGAGCTATCTGCGCTTGTTGATTATGGGTGTTTTCAAGTGGTTAAAGAGTAGCCGACAGTTGCAATGGTCGCAATACTTAAAATATTTTTGATACTACAGTATAGGCTATATATGATTCTGTTAATCTGTTTAGGCCTCAAGTAGTTGAATTGTTTTTCTGGTAGTTGGAGAGGATACTGGTATTTGAATATAGATTATTTAATCACCATTAGATTAGCACTGTAATAATTGATTGTTATATGATTAAAATTAGTTTTTTGTTGTTTTATTAATTTAAAGTTAGAATTAAATTCACATTCCACACAACTATGATAGAACTCTAGTTTTCCTGAACTCAGTGGTAGTAATATGTCAGTAAAGTAAAGTCAACCCTTGCTAGCCATAGTATTAACAAGACATATTTTCAATCTGGGAAACCTTAAACTTTTAAAATAAATTATAAAACCTCAACATCTTAATGCGTGGGAATCTTATTTTTAGAAAAAAAAAAACAGACCAAAATTATTTGTTAAATAATGAAGACGGCCCAATTATAAATTCGGAATTACTGAAAATAATTACATCAAGAACAACACTGTAACATATCCAAAATTCAAAAGATTAATTTTTCTAATATTATTTTTTATTTTTCCAATATCCTTTAAATCATCTGTTTTAACTTTGTTTAAAATTAATTTATTGAGTAAATATTTCCTTTTTGTACTAGTGTAAACACAGCCTGAAGATGGAAACCAAGTTTCTGAAAGCACTAGTGAAAAAAACAAATTATTATATATTGGCCTTGTTGAACATTTAAATTTGGATATACTGTACATTTCATCAGTGGTATAGTATTTTTTTTCTTCAGTTTGTTACCGGGACATTACGGGACATTACAGGATATCCAGTGGATTTTGTACATGTCCCGGGATGTCATGGGACATTCTGGGATATCCTATGGCATTCGTACATATCCCGGGACTTTACAGGATATCCTGAGGTTAACTTACAAATCCCGGGACATTACGGTATATTGTAGGATATCCTGTGGATTTCGTACTCGTTCCGGGATTTTGCGGGATATCCTGAGGATAGCGCACATATCCCGAGACATTCTCAGGACATATGGGACTACTATGGGATGTCCCTGGGATAAAGTGTGCTGTCTGGGTGAGGCATGGCATAGCCGTAGTTAAAATACTACCTCAATCCCAACATTAAACATTCCGGTTGACGTTTTCATTATTAAAGGTGCTCTTGTCACTGAGAAATAAGGACATTTAATACGTTACTAACAGACATACATACAAAAATAAAGAATTTAATTAGGTTTTGCTACGCTTTAATAATAGCAAAGTACATATAAAATTAGTATTTGAAATCTTTGTTAGTGTCATCAAACTTTATCATAACAATATTTATATTTGCTTTCCGAAAATGACCCAAAATGGCGGCTTACTATGAAATAAAGTACTAGGCCTAAATATGATTTAGAGTGGTAATTTACAACACACAGGCTAAATTTACTATCTACATTTGATACATAAAACATGTGAATTATTAAAAGTGTACTTGACATTTTCTCATAAAATCAGCCGTTTTTGTGTAATAATTTAAGTTTAAAAAATTAAAATGGCTGCCATTTTGAAATTTTAAATTGAATCAAGATGATTTTTTTCTAACATGGGTCTCTTCTACCTTAACATACATACCAAGTTTCATAAATATAGGTAAACAAAATACAAAGATAAAAATGTTTATGTAAAAAATACAAAATGATGGATATCTGGTTAACAAAGCGATTTTGGAAAATATGTAATTCTTGATTTTATCTTAATTTTGACCCAAGGAATCACTACGTAAATTATGTCCCCAACTTTTTTGAACACCCTTCCATTAGCACGATAACTCAAGGAAAAATCATCTGATTTTTAATTAAACTAGTAAACCCGGCAATTGAATTCAGGTTAAGAATTAAATGTAACAACTTAATTTGTTTCATAATTTTACCATGCAACTGACCCCAAAACATAAAATTTGGCAATTTCTTTCCAAACTATTATCTATAGCTTAAATACCCCCGCCGCAGCAAACCTGCAGACTAAGCGAATTTCCATTAACCTGATTAGATTTACATTAAAATGCCTCCATAAAAATAGCTCATTTATTTCCTATTTAAATAGAATAAGTTTAACGAGTACTTAGGTTTGCTGCAACAGGGAGGGTAAAAAAGTTTTTTTTTATAAATTGATAATAGTTTAGTAAGAAATAAAAGTATTTTCCAAAATCGATCAAAATATGTTCATAAACAAGCAAACTACAACAGTTGACTTATTCTCCATAAGAATAACATTAGAAATTTCAAAATTACAATTTTTTTGAATTTTCTCCGTAACAAATAGGCGCATAATAACGCTTCAATATACTAAATTATTTGTTTTTTTAAGCTCTACAAAATGGTTGAAAAAGAAATTGTGAAATTTCATGTTTTTAGGGTCAAAAATGGGAAAAACCTATTTTTACCCCATAAAACCCCCCATAAACCCCCGTTCCCATAGTCCGATCATGCTGGTTCGCGAACTCATTCAAGTTTATCCCGCCTTACACCTTCAAACCAAATTTTATCAAAATCGGACAAAAATTACTCAAGTTATCGTGCGGATGGACACATATATATATATATATATATATATATATATATATATATATATATAGATATATAAAAATTTGAACGAATGGTGTTTTTGGCCTCTGGGGACATCAAAATGAAAAAGTAAATCGGTCCCGGGCTTAGGTCTTACCATGAGACCTACGGTAATAGCTACTTCCCTATAGGGAAATTCGCTAAAAACAAATAATTTAGTATATAGAAGCGTTGTTAAACATCTAATGGTCAAGGAGAAAAAAAAATAAACGGTATCAGCATTCTGACACATACTTTCTCCCATAAGTTTGTCAACAACCTTTATCATGTGTAAGTGGTGAGAGTAAATATACGCAAATGGGATTTGTACAATTTTGTTCAGAATTTAAAGCTATAACATGCTAAATTTTTATCAAAATCGTTCGGGTCATTTTTGGGAAAATCCAATTTTTCTGTTATTTTATGGAGGTTTTATGGGAAAATGACATAATTACAATAACTTTTGAACCATAATTTTTACGGAAATGGGATTTGTACCATTTTGTTCAGAATATAAAGGACTATAACATACAAAATGTTTATCAAAATCGTTCGAGCCATTTTTGGGAAAATCATATTTTTCCGTTATTTTATGGGGTTTTATGGGAAAATCCCCATTAAAAATAAAAATGTCTAAAAATTAAAAAAAAACTATCAAAACTGTAAGGAATATAACATACTATGTTAAATCAAAACCGGATTTTTCTAAAATCCTCTTTTTTGTTATTTTATGGGGTTTTTATGGGAAAATAACATATTTGACCATAACTTTTGAACCGTAATTTTTACAGATATGTTATTTGTACCATTTTATTTAGAATTTAAAGGGCAACAACATACTAAATTTTTATCAAAATCGTTCGGGCCATTTTTGAGAAAATCTCATTTTTCCGGTTTTTTATGGGGTTTTATGGGAAAATCCCCATTAAAAATAAAAATTTCAAAAAAATGAAAAAAACTCCTGGAGATACCATGGATTAGAACCTACATACCAAATTTCATCAAAATCGGACCACAGGTGTGGTCTCTAGCTCTGTACACATCCAGACACACAGACACACACACACACACACACACACACACGTGTATATCCACACGAATATACACCCAAAACGAATATATCCACTCAAAACTCAAACTCGAAAATTTTGACGAAAACAATACTTTCTCCCTTCTCCATTATACTATGGTATAGGGGGAGAAAGTAAAAATAAACTTAAAATTCCCATGTTATTCATATGGAAAATAAGTAAGCTGTTGTAGTTTGTTTGTTTATGAACACATTTTGATCAAATATGGAAAATTTATTTATGAACTGTTAATATTTTACTGAATGCTAAGCATGTGAATGGGGGCTTTCAAGTGGTGTGTGTGTGTGGGGGGGGGGGGGGGTAAACTATTTTAAGTTATCTAATTTATAAGATTAAGCTGATAATTTCATAATCATTTGTGAAGTTTATGGCATGAATGACTGGTTATATCTAGTACACAGTCAGTGAGACAGTATTATTTATGTTCAAGTATAAGACTAAATCATGTTAATATACATATGAATTATAATACACATTACATTATAATCATCAGGTAAGACATGCAGGTACATCTTATTTTGTATGTCTTGATTATTCACTAACTATTATAATAACTTATAATTATAAGTTTATTTTGTTTTTAAGTTTTTAAACTTAGCAAAACCACCCCCATTTAATATGCAAATGCTGCTATATGTGCAAGTGCAGTAGGTCAGCAGACCCAAATTTTGTAAGAACTAAATACTGTACACGTTTAATCCAAACCCCAAAAGTTGAATCTGTCCAGGGTAATAAGACTTTACAGTTACAGTAAACCTTCAATAGTTCGACACTCCTTGTAGTTCGACACCGGCTGAGGCTACCCGTCTTAACAATAGCGATCGATATTTTGTTTTGACAAGTACGCCGGACAATGACCGGGACCAGTTCTTTCCAGTTATCAGAGTAAAAAAATATCAAAGATAACAAAATATTTTGTCAAGTGATATTTAAAGGTTACTAATGTGATGTAAGTTGACTTGAACATTTAAAAGTAACTATCAATCATACAACAACAATCAATTCAATATCCTACTCGTTTTAAAAATAATTCGAAATATCCAAAAGACATTGCCTCTGTCTGTATGAAAGATCACCATTTTATATGAGTCTCAGGCTTTACAACAGTCAACCTACCAAATTCAGAGAAATTACCAATATTTCAAAATTCAAAAACGAGTTTATAATGTATCTCTCACAAAAACAGTTTTAACTATCTATCTTTTCTATATACTAGCTGTTGTACCCGTGCTTTGCAATGGGAAGAGGACACAAAATAGAAACATTTTAATCTTTACATCTGTTGCTATAATAGTTACACATCCCCGCTTTTAGAAACAAAATTCAACTTTTATGGCCAGCTAATAGAAATGTTTAAGTTATGACTTTAATCTGGTAAGCAGTGGATACCACCATTTCATCTCCCTTAGTAACATATCTTTTTATTTATTACTAGCTGACCCGGCGAACTTCGTATCACCTAAGTTATAGGTTTCCCCTAAGACAGACCGATTGAAAGAAAGTACCGTTACGTTTAATTTTCAAGATGATCTCATTCGCATCGCTCAATCACGTCCTGGTTGAAGTTCGTTCGCTACGCTCATTCACCTTTGGGTTGAAGTTCGTTCGCTACGCTCACTCACCTTTGAGTTGGAGCTCGTTCGCTGCGCTCACTTGCCTTTAGGTTGGAGCTCGTTCGCTACGCTAACTCGCCTCAAGGTTAGCTCGTTCGCTACGCTCACTCGCCTCCAGGTTGAAGTTCGTTCGCTACGCTCACTCACCTTTTGGTTGCAAATTAGCTGTTGTCATAAATGTAAAAGAAATAATAGTGCTGCACCCTGTTGGTAATCCTTGTAACTTTAATGCTATTGAACATCATAGAACAGAACCAACTTGTTTAATTGAAACAGCTGTTAAGATTCATTAATTCTATTTCTCATAAGGTTAATATGGGAAACTCCAGAGCCACTGGGGCGGAGCCCTTTTAAGAATTTCGAAACGGGAAATAGTTTACGTCCGATTCGCATACCTACAGAATTTACACACCAAATTTCATAACGATCGGTGAAGTCGTTCCGGAGGAGTTTGCAGACAAACACTGTGACACGAGAATTTTATATATTAGAATGACATTTTAAATTTCAATTTTGAAGTTACTACTAATTATTAAATTTATATGAACACTAGCTGTAACCCACGGGCTTTGCCCCGTTTAACTTCTTAATTTTCAAGATTATCTCGTTCGCATGGCTCAATCACGTCCTGGTTGAAGTTTGTTCGCTACGCTCACTCACCTTTAGGTTGGAGCTCGTTCGCTGCGCTCACTTGCCTTCAGATTAGCTCGTTCGCTACGCTAACTCGCCTCCAGGTTGAAGTTCGTTTGCTACGCTCACTCACCTTTTGGTTGCAAATTAACTGTTGTCATAAATGTAAAAGAAATAATAGTGCTGCACCCTGTTGGTAATCCTTGTAACTTTAATGCTATTGAACATCATAGAACAGAACCAACTTGTTTAATTGAAACAGCTGTTAAGATTCAATAATTCCATTTCTCATAAGGTTAACAAGGGAAACTCCAGAGCCACTGGGGCGGAGCCCGAAAGGATTTTTGAAATAAGAATATGCCTATATGTTAATCGGTAATGTGAGCTATCATAATGCCAAATTTCAGCCCAATCCGACCAGTATTTTTCGCGTTCACTTGTCACAAACATACATCCCAGGGCCGATTTACTGAATAGGCACGGTAGGCACGTGCCTAGGGCGCGAGGCAATTGGCTTGTTTTGGGGGCGCCAATAATTTGGAAATTAAAAAAAAAATTTGTGGTAGTATTTGCATGATATCGCGGTAAACTTCTGATAACCACTCGCGGCCGTGTAGGCATCGTAATCGTCTCCCGCGTTTGCGGCAAGATTCTTACTATTTTCTGCAGTCAGGTCGTTTGGACATAAAATTATCGTCTTCCATGATCGAGGCAATATAAGAACGTATACTGCAGTCGTGAGGAGATTATTATCATCTACCGCAAATGAGGCAAAATCCTGATATCTTCCCGCGGTCGTGAGGACATTATCCTCGTCTTGCGCGATCGCGGTCAAATTCTGACCACCCCCGCGGCCGTGAAGACAATATATCGTCCCCGTTGGTCGTTTGGACATAGTAGTCGCAGCCCGCGATTGTGGCAAAATGGTAATCATCTCCCTCGGACATATGGAGATAATCGTCTTCGGCGAATGAGGCAAAATTCTGATCTTTTCCTGCGGTCATTTGGACATTATCATCGTCTTCCGTGATCGCGGCAATATTCTGATCATCCCTCGTGGCCGTGTAGAAATAGTTATTATATCTCCCGCGGTCCTGTAGATATCGTACGTATCCCGCAGTCGTGAATCCATGGTAATCGTCTCCAGCGATTGCGGCAAAATTTTAATCATGTCCTGCAGTTTTGTGGAGATCATCATTGTCTTCCGCGATCGCGGCAAAGTTCTTGAGGTTTCCCGCGGTCGTGTGGACATCAATCGTCTTCCGTGATTGTGGTAATATTCTGATCATCCGTTGCGGCTCTGTAGATAGTAGATACCATCATCGTCTTCTGCGATCGCGGAAAATTCTGATCATCCCTCGCGGCCGTGTGTAGACATTTATTATTGTCTCCCGCGGTCACGGAAACGTCACTGTTGTCATGCGCGATCACGGAAACGTCACTGTTGTCATGAGCGATCACGGTAAATTGAAAACTCTAGGTAGAAATACAAAATTCACGGTTCAAAGATCTCCTGCATGATTCCCGGATTTCCCGGTCAGTGTACACCCTGTTATATATATATATTACAAAGGGGCGCTACTATTAGCCGTGCCTAGGACGCTGGCAGGGCCAAAAACGGGCCTGATACATCCATACATCCATACATCCATCCATACATCCATACATCCATCCATACATCCATACATCCAAACTTTCTCATTTATAATATTAGTAGGATTTTTTTTAAATGTCACTCTTCTTTACCCTATATTAAATCACAAATCCTTCCATCTTCAGTTTCTTCACTCACAATAAATCATTAGCACAAACTAAGTCAGCTGTTATAAACTTTAGAAATATTGCTATGCCTTTTTAATACAGTCTTTTAAATATTAAAGAAACTATATCTATAGGTACTATAAAAAATTTTAAACAAATAATTTAGCATTAAAGACAGCAGACAAAACTAATATGATTATCAAAGCATCAATGCCTAAACAATTTAACAGCAAATACAGTGTTTAAGTTTCATTGCATCTCTGATTCTACTCTACAAAAATATCAACAAACAACTTAATATACAAACCAGTTCTTTTAATCAGTTCCATCGTCCATTGGCTTTACATTTTCACACTTACCATAAAGTAAACATAGTAAAAGATATTTCATTGATTTTACAAACAAAAGAACACTTTGTACTGCTTAGTATGATATTTTCCTTGGTTTAATTTAATCAGTGGTGTGGCAAAACACAAATAATAAATGTATCAAATAAAGTAAATGTGAACTGAAAGCTATGTTAAGATAAAATACGAGTATTTTGTATTACCATTTGATAATTAGTAATTATAGTTACGCATATACAACAGATAAAAAAAAAATCAACACAGTACAATTTAGTTATTGATGATATTCTTTGGTTTAATTTATGCATAGGTTTAGCAAAACACAATAACTTAATTTACCTAAATATACATAAACACCATTCGTTCAAATTTTTATATATGTATATATATATATATATAGACATATATATATATACGTCCGTGAACGCGATAACTTGAGTAATTTTTGTCCGATTTTGATGAAATTTGGTTTAAAGGTGTAAAGCAAGATAAACATGAATGAGTTCGCGAACCAGCACGATCGGACCATGGGAACAGGGCTTTACGGGGGGGGGGGGGGGGGGTTTATGGGGTTAAAATTGGGTTTTCTCACTTTTGACCCTCAAAACACAAAATTTCCCGATTTCTCTTTAGACCTTTTTAAAGAGCTTAAAAAAACAAATCATTTAGTATATAAAAGTATTTTTGTTCGATTATTAGTAACGGGGAAAATTAAAAAAATTGTAAATTTAAAATTCCCATGTTATTCTATGGAGAATATTGTCAAATGTTGTGGTTTGCTTGTTTAGTTTATGGATATATTTTGATCAAACTTGGCAAATTTATTTATTTTGTACTAAGCTATCAATATTTTACTCAAAACACACTTTATTAGTTTCCTTGTAGCAGCAAACCTAGGTACTCGTTAAACCTAATGTTATTAAAATATATTTAACTGAAAATCAATTCAGACAAATGGAAATTCGCTTAGTCGGCAGGTTTGCTGCGGCGGGGGTATTAAAATCTTCACCTCACATCCTTTAAAGCCAAAGGGGCAAAGCCTACGGTCAGTATCGAAATGTGAATAGTCCTATAATGGTCCTCGGTATGGTAACTATATTTTTGTAAAATTTTAGTCCAGTTAGTACAGTAGCTTTTGCATA